TGTAGTATAGCCATCACACTACTGCTAGCAAATCTCTGAACGCAGGACAAGAAGTAATGACAGTGGAACCAGGAGCTGTTCTTCAGGCAAAGAGCATCACAAATTATAATGTGGCAGAGTGTAAACATGGAATTATGTGAATCACATAGTAATTTGCAAAGGAGTAATGTAATGAGTTCTTATTACAGCTAATACTGCTAGGCTGCTCACCCAAGGAAGAGTTTTCATGTTAAAAAAAAAAAAGCAAAAAAAAGCAAAAAAAAAAAGCTTCCTTTGGTGCTGCAGGACAAAATAGTAACACTTTTGGTTTTCTTTATACTTTTCAAGTCCAGTGTAATTTAATCTCTCTATATAAATATATAAATAAAAGACATATATATATAGTGTAAAATAAAGTATGTTTTCTTAAATTCAAGTAAGTTCAATGGTTAAACTAGTACTTCACCATTGTTTATTTTGCACTGATTTTTTTAACCAGAGATGGCTAGAAGACAGCCTGGAATGCACTCATGGAAAATGAAAGTCATTACTTTCTGGCTTCAAAATGTTATTCAGGAAGATGGATGCTGCAATCATAGATTTTTAAAACAAAATTGTTTTGCACTTAAATAGTTTAATGCTCATAGAGAATTACTTTAAATTTGGTGTCCAAACACCAGAGAAGCTATGTTGTGGAGAGAAGATCCTTTGTATCTATTAAACATTTATTTTAATATTGTTGTTTCCAACTGCAATCGGCTCTGTATTATATGTATAAATAATGTAATTCAGTGGTGGGGAAGGGGAGTAATGGATCATTACACTAGAAATTCTCATTCATTTAAGAAAGTGATATTTCTAATTCAGAAAATACATATTAAACTATCTTGAATATGCATTTTTGTTTACTTTCTGTTCAAATTCAATCACTTTTGATGTAACCAATCCTTTGTTCAATTAAATGTTTGGTACAGAAATATCATCTAAGCTTTGTAGAACAAATTCCTTTCAAAAATATCTCATCTAAAACATTGCTTTGTATTTAACATAGTTGAATTTCAATTAGGAAAGTGAAATAACATTGTTCTGTTCTCATTCTTAATGGTTTTGTCTCGAAATACATCATACAGCAGAAATCTTGCAGACAGACAACTTTGTGGGGTAAGGATTTTGTAATGGCACAGTCCCATCCATTTGTCTGAGGAGTTGTGAAGTGAAAGATCTGGCAGTAGTAGACATACACTTCTGACATGGCAATCTAAAATTAGGTCACCATTGTGGCGTAGATGCATTTCTGAGACAACTTGTTTGTTTTCAATCAGGCATCGCATTTCTAATTCACCGCTCTTAAACTGATAAGCGTTATGGAGACAGACGTACCCACGTAGCTGTATAGTTTAATGCTGCTTGTCTGAGTGCACGTTATTTTTAATCACTCAGCAACAGAACACTGACCTTTTTTTCAGTAGCTCTTGCAAAAAAGATTACCCCCCCCCCCAAGAGATGTTGCTCCCTGTCAAGGCCCAGAACGACACAAGACAGCCGTACCTGCTCTGTCTTTCCCTTTACCCTTTGCAGCAATATTTGCAATTGGGCTTTTGCTGAATCTTGCAGCCGGGCATTAGGCAGGCAGCGGGGAACCTGCCTGGCAACAGGGAACTTGCCCCAGTCAGCACACACCCTATCTGAGGGCAAATGTTAATGCCCTTCCTGCTCTTTAAGGATAAAGCTGCGTAAAATTTTTTTCAATTGCAAGTAAACTTGAGACATTTTCAGGCAGGAGAAGTTAATTTTTTTTCAGAAAATGAATGAAAATTTGGGGAGAAACAACTTGTGACTAAGTCTTACTCTTGTAAAGCAGCTAGCATGTAGAAAACTGCCAGACACATTTATAAGCCGGCATTTAGGTTGTGTGCTTTGTTAAAGCTGGAGCTGTGCTTTACAATCCTTATCTACTTACATTCTTCTAAAATATGAAGAATAGGGAAAATACTGAAACTGAGCAGGATTATTGTTCAGAAGTTTTGATTTATTAACATAGTGGGTTTAACTGTTAAAATACAGATAAACCTTGTCACTGAAACTAGTGCATTACCTCCCTGTATACTTCCTGTATGTAAGTGCTTCGTATGGTTTGAGTCAGAGTGAAACAGCTGAGAAAATATGTAATAACTTTAAAAGACTTTTTTTTTTTTTTTCCCTTCAGCTGGAAAAATACAAAATCAATACTGAAAGGGCCATAGTATCCAACATTAGGGTAATAGTAGCAGGTACTCACATACGCATTTGTAGAGTACATCCCCACTACAAATCATAGTTGAACAGTGTACAAGGACTGAATGTGGGTTTTCTTTTTTCAGCCTCTTCTTTATTACCAAGCAATCATCTGGAAGCTTGAACTGCCCATCCCACCCTCTATTCCATATGGAAAAAGAATTCTTTTAGGAAGAAAAAGGATACTAATAACTTACCTGGAAAGAACTTAAGAGTTCTATTATAGATACAGCTCTTAAGAAAAAGTTACTTACTATGTTAAAAAAAAAAAAAAATTAAAAGTGAATGGAACACAGATCATCTCAATACGGAATTTTAGCTGGAAGAACAGTACTTGCCAGTTTGTAGTTTAAAGCTGAGTGTATTTTAACGATAAAGCAGGTGGGAAGACTCAAGTTTGCCTACTAATCCAACAGCCAGAGAAGTTTAAGTTGTCTCTGGAGGTCTAACAGCAAAGAACTTGTTATGAAATAAATACCCGTGACGCACCGCATGTGCCAAACTGTGTAAGATCCACCTGAAAGCATAAAATCAATGAAGAAAACATTCCAATGGGGTCCTTCACTTGAAATCCCCAATTTTCCTAGGAAAAACAATCTGCTGAATGTGAAATTGCCTTTTTCATTACAACAGTCTGACAACCCCAGACACAGAGTATGTGAGAGACAATTGCTGGCAACATAACAGGTATTACACTGACAGGCTTTTCTCTCCAACTTAAAACTTACTAAAAATCCTGACTTTGTCTTTTTCAAAAAATAACCACTTTCCTGCTGTATGAATAATGTAATTACCTACCTGATATTAATTATAGAAGCAAACATTTGCAATAACACTTCTGAAAACAGGATCTGGGGGAATTCTTTTTTTTTTTAGTGGAACTGTTCGATGGAAATATTTAAACTTCAGCATCTGTGATTTGAGGTTTCCAGAACAAGATTATGGGAAGCTACCAATACAATTAACATATCTTCATCAGGAACATACTCTAGATAATAGGAGCTGTACTGTACCATGCTAGGTAAGAGAGCTCCGAGTCTGAATGAGCAGTCAAATGTGGGTAGTAGGATTTGTCTTTTTTTTCTTTTTTTTTTAAATCTTCTAAGAAGTGAGTAACTATGGCGAGCAAGATCCCTCAGATGCAATGTTACCTATTTTTAGATGATCATTTTTACTGCTGCACACCATGCTCAACTCCAAATATATTAACACCAAGCAACTCACCATCTTCCTCTGGAAAAAACCCTGGATAAGCTCACGGCACCTTTTGCTTGGAGTTCCAAAGGTAAGAAGTCAGAGGTTACTGCTGTTACACTGTGTTCCCTGTAGACCTGCAGTCCTTAATTCCATTTCCTAAGCTTAGTATCACACCTTTCTTTTTTACGCAGATAGATATATATCTCTCTCTATATCAATATATCAACCTATGCTAGGTATTCCAACAAATATTGTATTGCCTTATTGTTGAATCTCTCTATCTGTTCCATCAGTATGGGCTGCTAATGTGAAAGCATGACTAAGTGGGGAGATGATTAACTGTGACAGAGCAGTTCGGCTCAGTCAGTCACTCTTGTCTTCGTGTATCCCCCACTGCACCTTGAGATACTGTGGTCAGGGGCACATTTTTTTGCTCAGAACTGGAGGAAAGATAGCATGCATCCCGCATGAGCTTAGTAAAATGAGAAAAAGCACTTAGCTACACCGTTACCTTCTGTTTGATTCTCTCTTTACTGTGATGTTCTCACTCTACTGGTGTAGAACATTTCCTCCACTAAAACTCTGCTTATATATTTGTTCAGTAAGAGAAACCTGCTATTCCTCTGGCGTACCTAGGACGAGTAGCAGTAATAGAGGTTTCCCTGCAGAGCCTTGTTCGTGTGCTGTAGCCTTATTTTTACAAGAATTCTTGCCAGGGCTGGGATGTTTTTCCATTCTTGCCATTGAGACTGAAAGTTTGCTATGAAGAAATGGAATGAAATGAGCAAAGGTACAGTAGGCTATGATGCAGGTGCAAGATATTCAACTTGGATAGTCAAATTTGAATAAATACCAAAAAAATTACTCCCACGGTATGCACCACAAACATTTAGCCTGCTAAGATTTTCACATTTTGAAAAGTCTGCTAGTAAATGTCACGTTGATCCTCAGTACAGTATGCAAAAATAATACTTTCTTCAAATACATGAAGCTAAACATAAGATAGAGAGGTGCTTTTAGGTGGTAGATCTTGAAAGGATTGATAAAAAAACTTGAGTCTCATGAGCTTCCTCACATTGAAAAGCTACAATGTGGAATTTGGGTAAGCTCGAAGTTACCCAGAAGCTGACTGGTAGAACAAGGAGTAGGATCTAATGCAGTCACAACTGGATTCTGCAAGTGTTGAGATGCCAACTCTTACAAAACCAACCAACCAACCAAAAAAAACCCCAAACCAACCAAAAACCAGAACAAAAAAGCCACCTACTGGGAAACCTCTAATCAAGTGAGAAGAATCATTATTTTTACAAATGCATAGCCTAGTAAAATCTCAGAAGGAGAGCTGAGAGCATAATGGGCATAACTTTCATTCTAGACGACTAGTATTTTTATAAAATCTTAATGTATTTTACTGCACCATTTAAGCTACAGCTTAACTGATCAGAATAAATAGTTTGTCTGGATTTAGAGCATCAATATGAAATTGATGCTTAAGGGTTGGCTTAGTATCTTTAACATGATCTGCTACCAGTGCATTTTTTTTTTCCCCCCTAGTGTGCAGCAGTGACTTCTAATACAATGTGCCCCTTGCCAGCCTTCTCATCACCCATGGCTTGAGGTTCACCTTTTTGTTGCACGGAAAATTCTGAACAGCAGCAGTAGTGCCAGAGGTCTTTGGTTACTGGTTCAGGAGGGTAGGTGAAAAAGCTGATCACTTCCCAATTATAAGAGTTACTTTCAGAACTATTGAAAAACCAAAAATGTTATTTGCAAAACCTGTCTTGCACACATACTTGGTAGGCAGAAGATTTTTAAACCCCCAGCTAAGTATGACTTGCACAAACTTTTTTTTTTTTTTAATAGCAAAACCATTTTGCTATTACCAAATTTAAGTATTGCAAATTAATTATTGCAAACTTTTAAAAGATCTTGGAAGTTTTAACATTAGTGGTATTAAATTGCAATAACTCCTTTCCAATTAAGATAAAAACACTGCCTTTTAACTCTTGCCTTTTATAGCACTACTAAACAATAACATTATATTAAGTTGTTACTGATGATCTGTGTGCAAAATTTCTGAAATATGCTTATATGTCTTTACTGCTCTTTTAAGCAACTAGCTGCAATGTCAGTCACTGTTAAAACTTTTAATTAATATTAATGGCTTGAAGAAAATGATGACTAAATTTTATTTTTTAATCAGATAAGTTGCTTTAGCTTAGCTATAGTTACAGAAAAATATTCAGCAGTTACAGAAACTGCATCAAAATCAAGTCTGTCATATGACTGTATAATCTGCACATTCTCAATAAAACTTCAGGTTGAAGTTCTTGAATACAGGAGCTGAACATTTTCCAGAGTTGGCTGAAAAATAAACATTTTTTACACCTACAAAATATACAAAAGTTAGCTGTCATTTATAATATGGTATGAAAACTTGTATTTTGTAGATATCATTCCATTCCTAATACTAAAGCTCAAATAATCCTTTCATGTTATTTTTAACCAACCTCCTCCTCCATCAGGTTCTAAAAGGAAAAAATACTTAGAAAGTTCAATAGCAAGTGCTCTCTAAGCTGTGCAAGGACAACACTTTATTTAAATATTGATACCTCTCAGGAACAGAATACCAAAACGGAGATAAGCAGCCCCCATAAACTCAAGGGGTTTTCCTACACATCGTCAGGGAAACACAAAATGCTGTTCTTTATAGGCCTCTAACAACGGAAGCATGATTGGGTTGCGCTCACTGCACAGTTGTGCTCTTCCTCACACACCAAATACTTTACAAGGTGGTCAGTAACCTCCTCCTCTTCCTTCTAGAGCAGGTAAGTGGAAATGTCTCAGGGAAGACTTACATGCCTCTGTTTCTCAGACTGTTGAGGAAACAACAGAAGTTTGAAACACGCTTTGTAAAACACATTTTACTGTGACACTTTAAGGTAGAGTCCATACCTCAATATTTGATCCAATAAATCTAACAGACTGTAACACAGGGGTTTCACCACTTTCCTCAGGTGCCCGGAAAACTGAGTGCAATGCAGGAGCAGGACAGGAAGTCAACTTGGCTCCTCCAGAAAGATTTCATTTTGGCAATTCTCCACAAGGAGGTCCACATTGTTGTTTTGTTTTTTTCCTGGACTTTCCTAAGAGAATGCTTTTAAAATAAACAAACAAGATTCAATTTCTTTCAGAGAACATCTTAAGGAATAAAATTAAAAGAGAAAATCCAAATAATCAGAAAAAACCCAACTCAGCCAAACACTACATCAGTTAATTCTTTTTTTAAAGTTACTGCCTCACTTGATGTTTTTTGCATGTTTTCCTGAAGGAACTTCTTACAAAGCCCACATTGATGAACCCCAGAACTAAGTTGGTGGAAAAACTGGCTGCTCCTATCGATGGAGAGTTCATGCTTTCAAGGTTAAACACACAGGAGAAAATAATATATAATTTGTTTTGCTACTGTAATTTAGGGTTTAAGAAAAACCTGTATTTGACAGTTTTTCATTTAGTACTAACTTCTACCTCACCTTGCAGATACTGCGAATCCTTAAGAGTGAACAAGAGTATTTTTCACATAGTTTGAATACAAACAAAGTTTTAGTTTGACAGAATTTTTAATCAGATTTTACTTTTTTTGATTTCCAACATCAAATATAAGTTTAGGATTTTGTCAGATATCATCTAAATACAGAATAATTAAGTTTAAAATAAATAAAATTTTATTTGCTCAAAATGTAGACTGATGGCCTTAAAAGGGCAAAAGCCCAGTTTCTGTCTCTGCTACAACTTCATCTGTAAAACTCTAACTCAAAGAACAACAAAATGATGATATTTAAAAAAAAAAAAAAATTGGAACTGACCCTTTAAGTAATAGCAACTATGACAAGAGTCTACTGAAGGGATCACAGCTTCTAAATTCTAACTTACATGTTTCAGGGCTTCGGGGAGGGGGCAGGGGAAACTGCAACCGACGCAATAAAGTGTTTAGGCAGACTGGATAAAACCAAGTAATCAGCTTAAGTAAAACATTTGTTTGTAGCTAACAAGCTCAGTGTCACAAATTACTTTCTCCAAATGGGCTGACAATCCTTCCACTTAAACATTACCTGTCTTTGACTTCCCTTTGAAATTTGTGACAAATGCAGAGGTACTTGCCCTGCTTAATTTCCTAGTAATCTGAATTTTTTGTGCATGGCCAAAGCTTGTGTATCAGCTGCCCTAAAAAGTTTGGGGAAAAACAGAAAAAGAACAAACCATCAGTTCTGCTTTAGGTGGAGTTTGGAGTCAATGCAAAGAACTATGTTGACTGAATTGTGTTCATGGTATTGCAAGCTAAGTACTAGCACTGTAAGCAAACTTCATTTCAGTCCACTTTAAATAATAAGCACACAGTGCTCCTCCCACATTTAATTTTAGTCTTCAAGACTGAAATGATTTGAAGTCACTTGCCAGAGCTCTTGAAAATAAGGGTGCTGTAATGCTTGATGGGCAGCAGTTCTCACATCAGGATCATATTTTACCATTGCATACAGGAGAGAAATTGTGCACAAGAGAAGGTATTCCTTTTCCTTTTTTAAAGGGGAAATCAAAACTCGCAGCTCTTGACCTGCATTAAACAAGTTGAGAATAGTTATTCATGCATATTCAGACAACACTACAATTTACTGAAAAAAATTACTCTCATCTGATTTAGATAATCATTTATTAGGGACAAGTAAGTAACACTTGGGAAAAAATGTTTTCTTTCCTAACAAGTTTTGTCATCGGCCTTAAAGGTACTGTGGAAATAAAAGGCCAAATAAGACTAACACAGGCTCAGATTTCCTCTGCGCTGCCAAAAAGGATCACGAATGCGTGACTATCTCTGGGGAGGGGTAGAAGACACCGCTCTTTGGTCAGTAGCCGTTGCAACAGTATTAGATTTTTGTGGTGGTTCCCTGAGCAGAAATTGCACATGGTTGTACAGTTACATTGTGGATATTTAAACAGTGGGATTAATAACTATGGGAATGCGTACTTACTGCTTGAACTTGTTGAGAGTTTGGTTAGTGGGAGTGCCTATAACGTCATGGGGTTTTGAAATTTGGTCCAGCTCAGTACATCCAGTAAAGAGAGGCTGAAAACTGCAAGGTAAGAGATGGCGTTAGCACTAGAGAAGACACAAATCAACTAGTTAAGTGGCATAGCTGCTGCTTCAGTTAAAAAAATTTCATTTATGAGGAAGATACATTTTAGAATTACTCATTTGTGGACAGCTTAATACCAACCAACATCTGAAGGATAACATGTAAGCAGCAGATTAACACAACTGCATGTTTCGATGGAAAGAGTAGTTTGGGCTATTAAACAGAAACCTGTAGTTCCTCTCTCCTTACAGGTTTGGGGTAAAATATGTGAAGAGAACATCCTCCTAGTGCAAGGCAACAGATATGGGATTGTGTTTTCTGCAGATCCCAGAAGACAGTGTGTTTTCCTCATTTTAAGACAGCAGAGCCAAGCAGTCCCTCTTGTTGTGCATACACATAGAAATAGGTATTTATAAGAAACATCCCATTCCTAGCACACAGGTTCTTTGCAAGCAGCAATACTGGAAAGATGGTAATTTGAATTGCATTCCTGAGTTTAATCCACAGTTAATACAAAACTTGCATGGAGTCCTTGAAAACATGGTTATCAACAGAGCAAGCTGACTTAACAAGTTAGGTTGACTAACATTTGTTTCTTGCACGTGTTGCCTTTTTCCATATTAGCGGAACATTTCCTTGGACTTTTAATTTAAGAACCACTTCAGTAGCACCACATGATTCTTGAAAGCAAAACACTCAGCCCTTTTTGGAGACGGGGGAAACTTCTTTTAACCATTTGCAAATTCAATCAAATAGCTGGCTGCAGAATTCTCTGTCTTCATAAAACTTTGAGAGGAAGGAGCGAAGAGAGATCTGATTCATGTTGTGCAGCTCTATCAAGACAAGCAGTTGGGAGTAGCTTTTGTGTGATCTACAAATATGTGCTGTCTCTAAATGTAAAACTATAGTAGGGAAGAACAACGGTGCAATCCACAAAAAAATGTAATCCAGGAACCATGATTTATAAGGAACAGAAAGAGGGAGACCAAGATTTGCAAGATAAGCATGGCTGAGTAAGATGAAAAAATTCTTACACAATTGGTGTAAAGCATAAAGGCGTACACAAATGTTCACCAGCAAAAACTGCAAGATCCACTTAAAAAGAAAGAAACCCGTCCAGGACTTCCTTTAGCTTGGCAAGGCTGTATCTTTTTTAATTCGGTAATTTCCAATAAAACCCTCATTTCTCTCTGAACACATCTATCAGGTCTCTGAAAATGTGCAGTGCTTGCAAAGACTGAATTTTGTTCCATTAAGCTAAAATTAAGAGGAAATATCTTTAAGGTTTTTTGCCGGAAGAAAACTTCAGTTTGCAGCGTGTAATTTTCCTGCCAAACTTCAAAGCCCACCCTATCAAACTGAAATGGAAAAACATGGCATTTTTAAAGCTTTTGGTCCCAATTTACTTCGCAAGAGAACTGCCACATTTGGGATTTTTCTGTTAGTTTTCTGACCGAAGTAGAACTGTTTCTACAAGTTAGCAGGCAAAGCATAAGGGTTGTCATTTAATGTGATGGTGATGGCAGCAGCTGCACTTGCCATGTGGAGGAGGAGGAAAGAAGCAAAGCAAAATGTTATCACTCCTGGTTGCGTATCAGAGACAGCAGTGTGGGAGGAGAATAAAGAACTGCTGCTGTTGCTAGGGCACAAAGATAGTGGAGAAATACTCATGGTCATTATTTTTCCTTTTTTTTCCTTGAAGACCGATGACAATTTTTTTTCAGTTATAGTTTCATCATCATCGAAAAGTTTAAAGGACTTTAATCTGGGTTTTTCTGAGCTCTTCCCTCATCAGAACCCGACTTCAAAATATTCCAGTACATAAGGTCGTGGCACAAGGGTCTTAAACACACTGCATTATAAATCAAAGTAGTAAATAAGAGGGAGTGTCTGCTCTGATCTCCTCTGTTTTTGCAGAACAGTAACTCAAAAAAAGAGGGAAAAATGTTACCATTAAGTGCATTAACAAGATTGAAGACATTTAGCGATGCTTATGACAGGAAACGAGCTGTACTCTGTTCAGAGATAAAGCAGAGAAAACACATTTTTACCTAAGTCAAACATAAAGCCAATGGGGGAAAAAAATCCACAACAACAAAACAACCAACTGTTCAGAAATGTTATTTTACTTTTAAATAATATTTGTTGGTACTATGTTCTCTTGAACATCCCACTGCTTTATTACTAACCTGCCACAGGGTGAAAAGAGTGCCAGACAAGACAGGATTACTACCTCATGAACCCTGCAGGCTAATCACAAAAGAAGCTTCCACAAAACCATGGAAACAAAGATCATATTACCCATACCACGTGCTCCTTATTTATTTATTTACCTTTGATTTTCTTGATCAATAATAAGCAAGACCCTCCACTGAACACTGTTCCTTGTGATTTCACAGAGAACACAGCCAGCACTCCACACAGCAATTTTGGTAACGATAGTCGCCATTTGTAAGTAAGCATTCAGGTCCTTGGTACCAGCATGTAGACCAAATATTCTGTATGTGGCTGGTTAGAATAGATACTCCTACAAGATCCAAAATCTCCTAACTTCAGGGTATTCTGCTGCAAAAATAAATAAAGTATTTTGACAAATTAGAAACAATTTGAGAGCAAAGATTTTTGTTAAACGTGTGAAGTAGTCATCATAAAAGAAATCACAGATTACTTTAAGAATAAACTTTCAGAAACCCCAGGAGTAGTATTATAGCAGTAAAACTGCATTTAAATAGCAAGTAGCTCCAGGCTTGAAGATATCTGTGTCCCATAATATGTGCAAATACCATTCTGTACATCATTAACAGAAAGAGCTGAGAGTTAATTGAAAAGCATATGGACTATTACTGAAGGGAAGACTGCTAAGTAGGACATCTGGAATAAGTTATTTTCTGAGAGTTCTTGTATTTAGCAGTGATATAATAGGTGGCTTTGGCTTCTCTTTGTACAGCTTCTCCTGTACACTTCTAAGACTTAAAAGAAAAATTTATCTCGAGAAAATAAAATTTCATAAAGTGATTTTTGCAATCATTGCTTTTCAGACATTAGCAAAATAACATTCCGAAACTGTCAGGAGAATAGAAGTCTCTTACCTATGTATGTGATCAAGAGATTTGCATAACTGGTATATGTAGTAGTTGCTGGGTTTTTTTTTTATTTCCTCCAGGTAATGGCTTTCTCGTTCCCAAAATTAAATTTCAAGTTGTACAAGTCCTTTTCAGCAAACAACAGAATACAAAAAAAATCCCAAAACCAAACCTTTTCAGCTTCCAATAGAGCATTAATATTAACTTTTTCCAAGTATACTCTTTCTGTCATTTATAGCTAGCTTTGTAATCCATTTTCCACTCAACCTCAAATATAATTTAGATTTCAGTATGCACCAGAATAGCTCAGCTAACAACTGTCAATTCAATAGTCTGTAACCTGCCTTAGCTTTTACTGCATGTTTTTCTTGCAGTATTTGCTTCCCCAAGTTCTAAAAGAAGTGCAGTATTTCACTTCTAAACGTCTAATTTCCTCTCTAAACAAAGTAACTGTCCTTAAGGTTCAAGATTCCTATCAATCACCTCAAATTACTGCAATGCTTAAATGACTGTGATTCACATTTGACTTGCAAATTAAAGGTTAACCTCTGTAGTTTAGCTTGCTATTGCTGTTGCACAATAATGAGTTATAAAATTTATCTATTTTTCAAAGCCATTCCATAACTACTCAGCTTTTTTCTTTTATAGGCTCCAAAGGCCTTTTAATCTTGCTGTAATGCCTTTATGTAACACTGCAATGTCATCAACGGAGGCAGAAATGATCACAGTTTTGAAACAAAGCAGGTACTGATCTGCCTGATGACAGTAGTATGAGTAATTGGCTGGGGAGGAGGAGGGAGATTATCAGGACACTAACTCATTGAGGCTGCAAGTCCTAGCAGCCAGCAGGACTTGTGTTCCTCACTGATTACAGTACTCCTCCAAAGCCACATAATCCACTGAGCAGGATTAGGTAACAAAGCGCTTGAAACAGAGTACTGTTTACATCGGGACTTGTAGTATTATTACCCCAGTAGACATAAATGGTGTTTTCAACATCAGGATTTTTGTCATTTATAGTAAAAAAAGATTTTATAAAATGCAGCTATTCAAACTGACTTGGATTATTATTACTGTTTGATTCAGGCCTTCATAAAAAGAAGTCACACTCAGTTGTTTTTTCATTACAGGTCACTAGTAAAATCTGGAGCAGATGCTCTTCTACTTCCAGATTTATCATTAAAGAAATGTTATTGGGAAGTAATGATGAAGCAAATCATAAGGCTGCAACACTTGAGGCTACAATTGTTGCTTGAGGCGTCTTCCCCACCTCTCGCTGAGCCATATTTTTTTCATCGCTTTAAATGACCAAACTGTGCTTGATTAAACAAAAGGCAAGACTGTTTTCAGTTATTAAATGGCTTGTGATACCACTATAAATTAATAGCAAGAGTATTATGACTTTGTCTAAGGACAAATAGCTTTGTCTTGATTGACATAACACGAATCTGTCAGTTTATTAATGAAAAAAACCCCCAAAAGATCAACTTTTGCATTAGTAGCATTACAGTGAACTCCAAATTACAGAAGTGTCTCTATACACCTTGTTAAATTAGAAATTCATTTTCAGTTTCCTCTACTTCAAGTTTTTCTTCATTACAAAATTTCATACAAACCATGCTTGCTTCTACATTTTTCTAACTTAAAGTTTTTTAAATTGTTCTGCACCTATAGTAAACTTCATTTTGCAAGATTCAGAGTAGCCAGAAAATTACAAGCACTGGCATTACTATGCACTGTAGAAATTTACAAAAGACTACAAATCACTCTGAAAACTGTTTTGTGACAGAGCATCACTAATGAACACAATTTAATTGTTCTACAAATTAGTAATGCACTCCTTCAAATCACAACGTTGAAAATTCAAAAGGAGCTCCTTCCACTTGCCATTGTTATCAAGATATCCTCAGTCAATAAGTGTTCTAAGAACTAAGATTAATTTTCCAATTTAATTACGTACTTGGAATATTTGCCATATTTATTGTTTGAAATGACTGCCACGTGTTACATTTCTTGCCTTTGCAAGAAGCCACAAGTAGAGTTGTTTGGGGAGAAAACAAATAAAAAAGTATTTCTGCCCCATAGGAAATTGTGGTGTTGACATTTCTACTTTGAAATTCCAAAATTAACTTCTGAAAAATGCAAAACACTTGACAGAAATTAAATACTGCAATACTTCAAAATAGTAAAATACTTTTTTTATTTATTATAATCTCCATAGGATTCTGTTGTTAATTTTCCCATTTTATTCTGTGATTTGATAAGCTCCACCCCACGTGCCACCACCTTGTACAAGGTGAAAAAAAGACATTGTGTTATGGGAAACAGTCCAGGCAGAAAATCCAGACCATAAAGAAGAACTAGCAATTTACAGAAGTTCAGGTAGACTCAGATTAATGTTTAGATAACCCCTAACCGCAGCATTTCAGATTACAACTGAACACAGATTTCATTTTGAACTGATTCACCATGCCATAAAAAAGGAGGTTTTTAAAACTAAGTGGAAGGAAAACAATCTTCTTATAGGAAACTTGAATTTGATAAAAACTATATTTTAAAATTTAAAAAAACCAACCAAAACAAAAAAACAGAACATACTGAAACTATTAAACTAATTTCCATCTGTATAGAATGCTTAATATAGCAAGCTTTTTCACATGAAAAGAATGAGAGAAACACTAAGAAATGTAACCAAACGAAAGCAAATACTCTGAGGTAAAAAAAAAGGCAGTTAAAGAACAAACCTGAACATTCTGATTTTTCATAACTGAAATGGAGTATCTTTCCTGGAAGGAGAAGATGCAGGATTGTTTTTAATGCACTGGACTATGTTACTAGCCAATGAGGACTCCTTCCTATATGCTATTACTCTGACTTTACAACTTAATAAAATAAAATGTCATATTAAACCCAGCAAATATGTCTGCTTCAGTGATCAGCAAACAACTGTATTTTAACCTCAAATTCTTATCTAGGTCAGGAACGAGGTTACTCCTTTTGTTAGAAATATGAATACTCAGTGTCACTAACGTAATGTTTGGGAGCAAGTCTTTTATCTACTCTATTACACTGAATGACAGTTGCATGCTCAGTTATTTAATTCCCAACTGTTAAGACATTACAAATTTTTAATTATTCAGAAAAAAAAAATCCTCTTTTAATATTGAATTGTAAGTGCGTGCCCCTTCATTTGCTGTATCCAACTCCTTTGACGTCTATATGAGATCAGGTTTTAAATCAGCTTTTGTTTTAAACTTTTTTGTAGGAACTCTTCCTTGAGCTTTATGGTCTCCCATCTGCTTCAACAAACAGCTCCAGATTTTTTAAATATAGGAGGTTTCAGGGAACAATGTTATTTTATAGAGAAAATTTGGTAAAAGGCATTTTTATTAGATATAAAAACTGAAAATCATTATTCACTGATTCTGTAGGTTTTGGAACAAATGGGAATAATTTTCTTGTTATATCACTACAGTCCTGACCTAACAAAGAACCTATTTAAGTTGCACTTTTTCTTACATAAAGCAATTATCTTGTGTTTTGCAGTCAAGGTTGTTTCCCTGTTTTCACATAAAGTTTGACTGTAGAAATAGATGGCCATTGACCTGACTCCCTGGATACCTTCTGCGTGCATCCATGCCTTAAACAAGTGAGTATATTACACTGGAAAGAAATAGAGTGTAAAGCAGTACGGCACAACATTTCCCTATGAATATGTAATGATGAACAACTAAGTGAAAAATAATTAATTCCACTTTGTGATCTATACAAGAAGGGTTTGTGTATTTCTTAAGCATATGCTACATACCTTTTATCAGCTCATAAATATTCATGTCCATAAGTTCACATATCAGTGAAAGGGAGCCAGCTTTTTTATCGCTGAAGAAACAAATAAGGAGACTTTAAGCTAGAAATGTTGATTTGTACACAACATAGAAAAAAGTACTTAGTTTAACTAGTATTAAAATGGACATTTTCATTTTCAATTGATACTTTCTCAGAGAGTTTTTTCAACTTAGGATCTGAGGTATCATAGTTTTTGTTTATACTACCCAAAGTGTCTGTTGCAAAAGTTAACTGATTTACTCTGTGAAGTTACTTAAGGCATGTTTTCTTGGCATATCACACTGTTTAGTATCAAGAAATTTGCAGTAATTTAACTGATACAATCTTACAATAAAAGATAGGAAAGCCATTATGCCATATATGAAAATACTTACTAGTTAGGTCATCAGTAGTGTTATATTGCATGGAAATGAGTATCTGACTGGAATCTGTGTTTTCCTGACAACAGCAGTTTTAAGTATTATCACAATACAATAATATATCTGATGCTTTACTTTCCATTCCACTACCCTGCAGAGGCAGACATCTTTAGGTCTTCAGTTTTTCTTACAAGATAATTGTATTAAAGTATATCCCTTCCGCAATGTTCCATTAACCCAGACAGCAAAAGGTTGAGGGTACAATCTGCAATTCAGTTTGCAGGCAGACTGTGAAAGAGCTAGGCGAGCTGGCTGGCCATCTGGATTACACTTTGTTAACAACATGGCAGCTGAAGCTGAGAATTCCAGAAAGCTAAGCTGCTGACACGATTACCGGCTTTCCATATATTTGCAGAAAATGAGCCTGTCAATAACAGTATAGTACCAGAGCCTCGAGCACAGGAATAAGATGGCCTGAAGAGCAAGAAAAAAATATTTTAGAGCAGTCAACAAGTTTTGTGTCAAGTATTTGAATAATGAAGTATATGTCTGCTGTTGCATAGTGATGAAGTGTAACACACAGTCATGGAGTAAATGCTGTCATAAAACCTGATCTTGTGAGACAGAACATGTGCCCAGAAGATTCTTAAGTGCCTAATGAGGCTAAGGAACACAACTTCATTGACTGATCTCTTTCCAAATTCATAGCTCACCTGTTGCCTAATTCAGAGGTCTAAACTTCTATTATTTGCAAAGGGGTGTCTGTAAAGTTGCCAATGAAATGATACAGCCAAGTAGTTTGCTTGGATCCCTAGTTCAAACTGGCAAGTCAAACCAAGATCCTTGACGTACCAGAGCCTATTCCAGCAGATAAGCTCTGAGTGTGCAATACCAAAATAGTGTCTCCAGTAGACATAATGTTGTGCAGTTAAAGCACTCACTGGATATGAGACATAGATTGAAATCACCAGCCAGTATTACATATTATGATATGAAGTTTAATTATACTTAAAACATATCTACTCTGTAATTGTAACACTCATGTTGAAATATTTTTGGTCTGCTGCAAGAGAGCCGGAGAAAGTGAGAGATACATCAGATTTTCTTAACGGAATAGGCACAAAGACTTCAGAATTTGACAAATTTGTTGGGTTTTTTTTCTTTCTGTTGGAATAAAAATCTGGTTAAGTGCCTACAGGTTGCCTCTAGACCCAAAATTATTCAAATAAAGGAATAAGGAAGAAAGAAATGAGTGCACCATACTTACAAAAAGACTTAATGTAACATAAGAGTATTAGGATGCAGATTCGGCCGCCTTAGCACTTGTATTTCTCTCAGATTATTGACTTGTTCCATAGTAAAATTGAAAAGAAAAGAGGAAGACTGACTCACAGTCAGGGACTGGATTATAATTGTCTTTCTCCCCTGCCATGAGACTGTCAGAATCTACTCCACTTCAGTCTGTAATTGAACTTTCAAAGGCAGGACCTGATAAATTGTTTGCCTGCTTTGTTCCATTATAGAGCAAATCAGCAATCAGGAGAATGGCTTTATTCCTTCTTGAAGTCTGGAGTAGCTGGACTTACCCAAACAAGATAAGTAGTAAACTATTGCCCTCCAGACATCAGTTACTATGCCAAGGAGCTATCTGGGAGGAATTTTGTGTTGCATAATAGTATTTATTATGATAGTGTTTTTCTGTGCTGGTGCAGCATACGTTCCAACTACTGCTCAGCATGATGCTGGAAGTAACAATTTAGCCTTGCCAAATTTAACATTTAAAATTAAGTTTTAACTAACCTCTTACATTAAAAATAGACACTATTCAACTATTGTTTAATTATTTTGTTGCCCTCCTAGACTTTAATAAACAAGAAAACTACATGCTACAGAAACTCTGAGGAAGAAGGAGGAAACAAAGAACTTTGCACACTGTTTAATGGATCAGAACAGGACACATGCCTTTTCACAGTCAGACTTAAAGCTAAACACAACAATATTTTCCAACTTGAAACTAGGAGAAATACCTTGTACAGGCAGGTTCTGTTTAAAACACTGCTATCTGTTGCTAAAAGAGTTCATTTCATCAAAAGAATTTGTCTGTCAATTTATCAAAGGGTTAAAGGCCTAAAAGGTATTTTAAACATGCTACATGACAAAAAGAGTCTGCTTGTTATGCCCTACCACTGAACTGTATACCATCTGCCCTTGATATAGCTAAGAGTTAGTTTTAAATACTCTTTTGATCATAAATTGGACAATTTGGTCAGTTGTAGGTAATGTATAAATAGACCAACAGTTCTCTGACAACAGAACAGAAAATCAGAAGTCACATCACTTGAAGATATTTGAGTGGTTTTTTTTTTTAAAACTTACATTCTTTGAAGCTCTGAGTTACGTTGTGAAATCTCACCTAAGAGCAAAATGTCCCATTTTACTTCGTACATACAAATGTGTCACTCATTCCACTAGGAACTTAATATATTTAACTGAGAATACAAAGCCAGTGACCTAAACGGCATTGTTTGACATATATATTTGGAGGAGAATGTCAAATCTATGTCTGCTTCCATGCAGCTCTCTCCTTTATTTTCCTAACTGATAAAAAGCACCTATTTTGTGACCATTTAACATCTTGGTGATGGATGTAATTAAATATAAAGGCAAATATGAAGTAGAACTAATGTTATACATGGACTAAGGATAAATAAAGTGGTTTTAACTTGCATTAAAACAGCACTTAACATAAGACTGAAAAAAGTATTGTCCAGGGGAAGGACTGACACATTTCCTCCTCCTATTATTACTTAGAGCAAGAAGAAAAACCACACAAGTCTATTCAGTGCATTTTGGAAAGGCAGAAATCAACTAGTCTTCATTCTTCTTGTTTCACCCTCGACCCAGTGGCTGGGCAGCATTTAGTACAGTGGATGACATCAACTACAGTACTCAAGGAAATAACCCCAACGCAAAATAGGAAGGCGCTCCATAATCAGCAGCAGAGTTCCCTTTCTGTACTACATGCAAACCTTTTTAATACATGTGTATTCAAAAAACTTCACTTAGTCTTAATTTCACATCTCTCCACCAAATTTAAATAAGTATGATTAATTATGCATACCTTTCAAAATGTTGCTTCATGTGTTCACATGCATAGCACTTTCCATCCCTAAGACTCAGTGTCTTCAGAACATCAGAAAATGTTCCCTTCTCCTATCTTACCAACTGGTTTATATTCTAAAAACAAAAATATACTGTTTCAGTATGTTTAAAATAGAAATTGTTATGCATATCAAGCCATACCTGATTTATTAAATTCTGACTAATGGAAAAATGTTTAAATAAAAGGGGTTTTTGTTAAGACAGAAGATACTTATATATATCTTAGACAATAAGCTACTACCTCCTTGCTCAGAGACATGCCACCTCTGCACACAGCACTTCATACTGTTTTCCTGCTGCAGCACATTAGCAACTCATACCTGAACTTATTCTTTGCTTCTTTCATGAGAAAAAAACCTCTTTATTGACATTGTACTGAAAACATAAAATTATCTTGAAAAGCAAGTGTGTCTTGTCATTGTTCCAGTATGGGGGTTTTGGTTGTTTTGGTGGAGTTTGTTTGGGGTATTTTTTGGTTTTGAGTTGGGTTGGTTTTGTCTTTTTTTTTTTTTTTTAAGCAAAGCTGTTGCTGATTTTAAAGCTTTATTCCCATATTAAATTCAGATATTAGTTTTGCACTAGGCCAAAAATAATTTAATAATGAATTGCACCAAACAAAAGGATGTGAAAATCAGTCAATTCTAGTTGTGCAGAATTTTAAGAGATGAAGCAGATAACGTAAGGGTTATGAAGAAAGCTTTATTTATATTAATTTCTGAGTCTTTCCTAATTTCCTTCAGAATTGATGTTTCTTTTCTTTCCTCCTTTATTCTCCTTCAGCTTTGTGATCAACTGTTCGTTGCCAATCCCACTGCCTGGTTCCCTTCACCCACGTTGTCCTCCTGTTTCCCTTTATTTTTAGCACCTACAGATTCTATCCTTGATAATTCTTCCAGTAATTTCATCTGAGCAAAACCCAGTTCTGGTTAGCTTTATGCTGCTGTTGCTTTTGACATACTCTTATTATTTAAGAAAGATTGAAACCCAGTCATTTTGAGGGAGGCAGAGCAGGAAACCTGTTTAATCATATTCAACACTTCATGGGAGTCAGAATAACTGTAGGAGCCTTAAGCTATGTTGATAGCAGTAAATTCAATTAATTTTGTTACTGTGACAACAGTCCTGGCACAGATTTGGCCTGTGACAACCACCACTCTCTTAAGCACCTTCCCAGCCTGATGTGAGGACTCCTTCTAAGGTCATTTCTCAAGCAGTTTCTGTCCTACTGCCTCGTTTTGGAAGATAATAGAATTTACTAGCATAGATGTGGGCCATTTCATGCCAGTTGCTCTTTGTATCCAAGAAGATTTCCAGATATGTTTAATTTACAAGTATAAATACAGCCTCACAGTGGAGAAAGCCTGCCAAGAAATTTTGCGGAGGGAAAAGTTACTTAGACAGGGACATTCTAACAGTCTTCCAACTAGGAATCAATTTGTGTTGTCTTAATCTCTTTTCTCCTCCCCAACTACTTTCACACTTACTCCTGTTAAAAAAAAAAAAAAGTCTTTCCTTGTGATCCAAATGCTTATATTTTAATTAGTAGAAACCTTCCCCTTGCAAATCCCTCTTTTTCCAATACAGTAGCAGCACTTCTGTGAGAATTGTCAGTTGCTCTTCTAATTTTTATCACCTGCTGCTTAGGTTTCCTGATCATTATCCATCATGCTGGATCATAAACTAACTAGTTAGGCCATCTAAATTTGAAAAAATAGGAAAAAGCAGAGTGATTAAAAATCAATGACACCATCTACTGCACTCTGTACAGCCAATTTACACATAGAACTATTTTAAAAGCAGAAACGGAATTTGAAAATCATTATGGATAAAGAAGGCAATCCCTAATAAAGACTCCAAAATAGGGAAGAGACCATGATACTGTTTAATTCATGTGACTGTTATTTCATACCTGGTCAATTAGTGCCTTAAGCAAGGTGATCACCAGCCTTTTGCTTTCACTAAGCAAGTAACATGCTTTGTCAGCAGAAATCACACTTTGCACCTTGCTTTCTACCCCTACCTTAAGTTTTCATTTCCTATCTAAATACCTACATATAAGATGGAGATAGTAAATTCAGAATACTTAACTCACACTCTCACAGAATTTTTTTGGTACTCTCCTATTAGTCAGATACACACTGGCTATGTTATATGTTCATACAATGTCAGAGCCAGTCCCTGTGACAAAAAATACCCTGGGCGGGTACAAAAAAATTAGCTATTTGTTGCCATTTATTAGAATCCAAGAGTAGGTCAATCTCATATTTTTCTTTCCTTAAATGCAAGTAATTGATTCTCTGGTAAAAATAAAATTCAAAGCCTGTGACCTGAAAATAAGATATTAATATTTATGGTATACCAGCCATAAGTGATAATGAACCAAAGTACTTAGAGAAACACAGGGAAAGCGTTATTGTACAAATTAATTGAAAATACTTTTAGATATATAAAGAAGTCAGTATTTGTTTATATAATTTGATTTTGTTTATAATTTTTTCTATACATGTTTTTTTTCTTCTACAAGAGAAGTCCAGATAACAATGGAGGGCTCAAAATAATTTGATTTTATTTTTAATTTTAAACTGGAGACTTCTAATAGGGTAAGAAGAGTTAATTCTTTACACACTTTGAAACATTCTACTTGAAATATTTCAATTTGAAACACTAAAGATTTTTTTCATGTAAGCATGTAAGGCTTGTTATTTTAATATTTTACAATAGAATGGCATACATACAAAATAAAACCCCCACACATAACAAAAAACTGAGGCTTTAACCTGGCACTTAAGAGAGTGCCATACAGTGCAAAGAATAACAGCAAAGACCTGAATAATTTCAATTGATTGAATAAAGTGCTGAATCAGGAATGAAAATTGTATTATTTGAAACATCTCTTTGATGCATAAAATCAACATATAAACTCTCAACAAAAGAGGTCACTGAAGATGAAAGCTTTTCTCCTAGGAAGAAAATGAGAACAATCATGTGACGAGTTAGTTATTGTTTAATGAGAAGTGGAAAGGAACTCACACGTTGTAAGAACAATAACATAGAAGTTTATATAGAATAAGAAGAAATAAAAATTAGACTTCAAATGAACTAACAATTTAATACAAACTTTGAATTTGCGTCCACAAGCCAAGATTTCTGGACATTCTTAAAAATCCACTTCAGCACCACATAATTGATCCTTTGAAAGTGACCAAGTGGCAAAAAACCCACCAAAACAAGGGACTTAAACACACACTGAAAGAGAAGAGTCAGGTCAAAGCACGTCAATTTTAAGCTATGAAACTACAGCTACAAAACAAAACTAATTACCTGTTAGTTTACCCAAATTTGTGGTAAAATGAAAGCTCAAAGATGAAGAATGACAGAAATGTTAAAAATGTTATCAGCATTTTAACACTGAAAGCTTTGAGGGTGAAATTAAGTAAACAGTGTTTTAATTACACTTGCATATAACATTAAAGAATAAAGAAGACCTGATCACTGGTTAGCAATTCTTTCATGGCATCTCTAAGAAGCTAGATACTACCTAACCTCTTCCTTCCCTCCCCTGTTTCAGGCACGCAGATGTTGAGGCTCAGAATGGTTAGCAGAAAGTTAGATAAAGGTTAGCAAGACTATGTTGTAGCAATCTGAACTAATCTAACACCAAAAAAGTTGCCATTAAAATGGCAGAGAGGTAATCACTCAACAGAAGGACACTTTAATGTGCAAGAGGCTACAGGACCCAGCAAATTAAGAACAATGTAAATTACAATCATGGGCACGTCATGGAATTCAGACTACACCCGTATTGCTGTAACTAGAGAGCACAAAAACCCCAGAAAAATCCATATCATTTTGAATTAAAGAATCCAATGCAAAATGACAGAAAAAGATAGCATTACAATAGTCAAAACAGGATATTATAAAAACCTAAACCAGATATTCTGTTGTGAAGATGCTGAGATGCTGAGGAAGAAAAAGCCAGGACATTTAAATATGACATTGATGCATGTGGGAAGAGAGAAATAACCAAACAAATGAAGAAAGCAACAAGAAGTTCAGCCTCAGCCACAAGGCCATGGCACATAATTATTGCATTCAGAAACAGGCTAAATATGTAGGATGTGACATGGGATGATTCCAAGGATGCTAATAGAAGGAAAGGCTTGCAGAAACAAAGAATGAGAAAACTTAGCAATTTCTGAGAAAGTACTTGAAGAGACCAGAAGACAGACAGGCTACTGCTTCACGGGAGTGGGAGAAACATTTATTAGCACCCTGTTGAAGAGGAGGACTGGCACGCAGCGAGAGACCAGCGTTTACATGTGCGGTCTCGATAGTGAGATCTAGGAGCTGGCAACGGGCTGCAGTGACGGCGTTTTCCAGGGACTACAAAAGCACCTAGGACCACCATCAGCCCGGGTGCTCCCCGCGCGGCCCGGGACCCCGGTCCCCTCGGGCCAGGGTCGCTGGTGACGGC